ACTCAAGAGTATGGTCTCTCGACCTCCATCAACATGTTCATCACATAATAATCTCCTCAAGTGTTCCATAAACGTTTCATATTAATTCATAATCAATCATTTCATACACATGTACAAATAACATGTTCAACTCGTTTGCATTTGCGTGGGAATGTCTATGTCCACCTTAATATTCATGTAAGCATGCACCAACTCTCATACAATCATATCACATGAATTCATTTTGAAGGAAACTGATTGAAAGAACTTGTCCCTCTTGTTGAAAACTATTATGTATTATAGATATTTATGTACATAATATATTCGAAAACTCTTTCTTAAAACACCAAGTTTAGATAAAAGATTTGTATTTATAATCATAGCATTTTAAATCATGAAGATCAAATAACTCAATAAAATCATGCTTCGATTTACATATTAAAATACTTAAAAATGTGTATTCACTCATCTTCGAGTATTTGACCTCTAATAACATGCAGCATTCACTTTGACGAATTCCTTGAAATTTTGACATGTAAAGTGTTTAACAATCATCGTAAATATTACTTATGCTATAAATCACATAGTAATCGTCTATGCTAATTCGAAACTAGTCGAGTTCAATTAAAACTAATTTTTCCTATATTAAATCCACTGTTCTTCAACTGACTAGTGAAATGACCATTTAAATCTTTATTTCTTCCTTACCTTGGAGAGCCACTAGTGAGTAAAACCTCCAAAAAATCTTAACGTCTATGAGAAAACACAAAATCTGTTAAGAAGGTTGAAATCAATGCTGGAAATCAAGGGTTTGAGAGTTTAAAGTTGAAAAACCTTACCTTTTGTTAGTTCCAAAACCCAAAACCAAGCTTCCAATATTCAAAAATGGTGATTTTCGGTGGAAAGGGGTAAAAGGCTTGCTATTAGTTGATAGAAAAATGAGGGAGAGATGGCCTAAGCTGAATAGAGTGAAAAATATGCCTATTATGGAAATATTTGGGCTTCGAAAATACTGTACATCCTATCAACATATTTTCCGATGAAGGAATCAAAGCTTGATTTCGATCGTAGTTTAAATCCAGTAGTGCAATTAATGTAAATCTAAACTTAATTCTCTAGTCAAACCTTTGGTACTAAATATTATCAAAATTAATGCAAGTAAACAAATTAGCCACTATGTCTAAGAAACAAAAGAGCGTACATCGTATCAATTTGAAGTTCTAAAGAAGGCCAATATCTAGCAAGCATAGAGAAACTTTTGTTATATTCCTTTCAAAGTAGAGCTAACATGGCAAAAGCAAATTCTTAGACATCTCATAACTTCAATATGTACACTTTAAAGTAAATCTACAAACAAGTCATCTATATCTCCAACACATGCATATGCAAAACGCATCTTTTAATTAAATTTTTTTTAATTAATAATAATATCCCTTTCTTTCCTTCCTTTTTTTTTATCTTTCCTTTTTTCCTTTGTGATGGCTCAATTCAATAGAATCTTTTCCTTCAATATTAGTGCCGAAATCCATAAAATTTGTCCTATCGGTATTTTTTCAATAATAAGATAATATTACTGAAAAATTATTTGCAACGAATTTTTCTATAAAAATTATCCAATTTTCTTGTAGTGTGGAATAAGAAGGACGAAGAAGGAATGGCTTAGGTTTTTTCAAACAGCGTAGAGGGTGCATGCTACCAATCGCTTTAGACTTTTTACTATTTTTTAACTTTACTTTTAATATTTTTTTAAAAAAATTTGCCTTTTAGTTATTAAAATTTTTTTATTTTGGTCAAATCACAAAACAACCCATAAATTTTATTGAAAAATTAAAGGCATAATATTTTAAAAAGTCTTTAAACTATTTAATAAAATTCAAATAAGCTCTTATTCTTCTATTGTGATCAATCAAGCCATTTGTCATATTTATGCCCACATAACGTTGACATGATGTTAACGTGGTGGGTGAAAATACTACATGATTATGTTATCACGCTACATTAATATATTACATCATTATTCATCATGATATATTAATATGCCACGTCATCGTTAACATTTTAACTAATAACTATTAGTCAACTATTATAAGAATTTATTTAACTCAAAATAAAAATATAAGAAGTTAATTGAACGTAATAAAAAATAAAATTTTATTTGAATTTTATTAAATAATTTAAGAAATTTTAATTATTAAATTAATATTAGTTTGAAAATCAGTTTATTCATACATGTCAAACCCTTTGGTTTAGTCAAATGAGCCCGATTTACTGGTTCTCTCTTTAACCTGCCAGGTCAAATTGGTTTTTAAAGGTTAAACGTGAAAAAATCTGACACTAACTACGTATGTTAACTTACTAACTCAATATTGACTTGTTTAATTATTTATAGATAAATGAAAAAGTTATCATATACACTTACCTTGTTCTAAAATTTAACTCGACCTCATATATGCAGAGGATAATAATCCTGGTTAACATCAACAGGAAATGTCAGGTGTACGTTATATATGTACTGCTGAAATATGCATCATGTTTATTTGATCCGACATTAACTGTGATATGAAATGTATAGTTCAACCTTCCATTTCAAATACAAAGCTATTATTGCTTCTGAATTCATATGCAAAATAGCTCTTTTGATTCTAACTGTACATTTTACCTTTTTTCTTTTACTTACCTTCACTTCTCCTTTACCATTTCTTATATGAACCAAGTGCTGGCGGTGCACGTGCAACATCGAGTCCTATGATGCCCCTGGCGTTTGGCAAACATCATTTTACAAATTTTTTTCAGGCCATGCAATTTTGCATAATCGTGCTGTAGATTAGATCTACAAATAAACATTTCCTCAACAAGGAAAGGATCTGCAAAAAACTATTTTTACAATTTTTTATTTTTTGTAATATTTACAAAGTCTATCGAGTTTGGGTTATAAAAAACCATTTCTCATTACATAATCTCATCAAAATCGAAATTTAACTTTTAATTTTAAATGTTGCAAATTTTAATTTATTAATCCTAATAAAAACAAATAATACTATACACAAACACACAAATATATTAAAAAAGTGAAATTCAATTCTCTTCTCTCAAATTACCAAAATAAAAATTAAAATGGTTTGATTACATTTTAATTTTAATTTTATTTAAGAAAAAAACAAAAAGAAAAAAAAAGGGTATAGAAATTCTAGAGCCCTTCTGATTGCTTGAGTAAATGGGTAAGTAGCTGACTAGAAGGATCTTATTTTTGTTGTGGCGCATGCATGAGTAGTAAATTTCATCATGTTCACTTTGTGTGCCACATCAAAAATTGTGCGCAATACATGACAAAAATTCATGATGTTGGAGTGCTTTCAGTTGAAGAAAACAGGGCTACTACAGATTTGTTGAATAACCAAACCATTTACTCTTTTCATTATAATTTCTTTCAAGGAAAATTAATTAAAGATAGCATGCCATCTTGAGCTTAACTCGACTAAGTGGAGACCCGAAGTTTTAAATAAAGATTCCTTATTTCAGAAATGAGAAGATAAATATCATATCAAAATAAAAGAGGGAAATAAATATATATAAATAAGTCAAAATAGAAAACTTTATTCTTAATCTTAAATATCTGACATGCTATTATTCAAATATCCTAGAAGCTTAAGCTATCAGGAAGAAGTCCAATTATTTTTATATTCATAAGTGCATAAAATTTTTGGAATATGCATGCTATAATTATTTTTACTGCTTAGAAATGTCAAGTTTTTCCCTTCATTAACTAACATTTTCAAAATTACAAAATAACATGAAAACAGTGTATACATTTTAAGTTAATGACGTAATGTTTTAAAAAAATTTCTGAATCATTTAAGAAAATTTAAATAAATTTTTATCTTTCTATTGCATTCAATCAAACATTTATATTTTATTTGAATCAAATAAATTTTTATGTCATTTTTATGATTAATTGTTATTAGGTAAAATATCAATTGTCATTCTTATATCCAGAAGTTGACATGAAAGGTGAAAATATTATATGATCACATTATCATGCCATGTCACAATCCACTATGAGATATTAACATGGCAAATCAATATCACATGTCATAAAAGGACAAGTAATGTTTTTATACAATTAGGCAACCGTTGATTATAAAAACGTGTACTTAAAATAAAAGTGTAAAATTTTAATTAAATGTAATAAAAGAATAATGATTTATTTAAAATTTTCAAAATAATTTAAGAGATATATAGATATGATGCCTAAATAAATTCTAATATAATTTACAATTTTCTAAATGAATATATAATATTAGAGGGCAAAATCTGCCAAATAAAAAGTTGACAAATTTGTAAAATCTACAATATAGGATTAAAATATAACATGGTAATCTTAAACTCATAATATCCCTTTTGTTGATCTAAGATTGCTAAAGTGCTATAAAAGATTGTGATCAAATCATTGAAAATAAATTATTATAAGAATTTTAAGTGATCATTTAGGACCAATGATTTTTAAGATAATTATAAAAGTATATGGATAAACCAAGCGAAATTGATGAATATGTATATCAACGTCTAGCTAAGCTAAGAGTCTATGTCATTGGGATGTGGGTTAGGATAATGGATGTTTCTTCTTCTCCTGTTTCCATCTTAGTGCTAGAAGAAAAAAACCTAGCTAGTGCTGCGCAGCCAAGTGCAGCATAATCACTTCTAAAGCATCAGCAACTTCTGTAGCCGCTGTGGGTATTTTGGAAAGAACATGAAGGGCATTTCAGTCATTAACTTAAACAGATAGGCAATAAGTAGGAAAAGAATTTAAGTGTTGGTTAACTGGAAATCCAAGTTTTACCATAAAACGGCCATTAACGGTATTTTCCTAGATTCTCTTCATACTTTCAACCAAAATTTTTATAATTAAAAATCAGGAGTTACACTTCTCTGTTTTGGTCCTCGCTTGGTAATTATATTTTTCCCCCTTCGCTTTTTTTAACTACAATAGTTCTGTTTGGCACTATAATCAGTCTCTCCTCCACCATTCACACCCTTCAGTCATCTTGTACTCTCTTGTCTTCTCTCTCTCTCTTTCTGTCTATCTATAAAAGCAAATCCATCAAGGCCAAACTGTTCTGAATTAATCTCTATCCCTTCAAAAACACCTTTTCTTTCTTCGTTTCTTTCTCTTTCTCTCTTTTATTTTTTTTTTTTGGTGTTTTTTGCAACCATGGCTGACTACCCTTACTCAAATTTCTTCTCGGGTTGGTTCAAGTTCAACCCTCTTCAACATTACCCATCTCCAAACCCTTCTCCCCAACAACCTTCTTCCTATACCCAAAATTACTTCTATAGCAGCAACACCACCTTCGTGACAAATGAAACAAATCCTTTTTTTCACTACCAGACCTCATCATCGTCACCTCCCTCCCCTCCTGTTAGAGAAGCCTTACCACTATTGAGCTTGAGTCCCACAAGGCATGACAAAGAGGAGGAAGTACAGGATGATGAAGATCAGGATCAAGAGCATTCTTGCACCGCCATGGATGTAGACAAGAGCAAAGGGAAAGAGGAAGGGCGGCTGCTCTTCACTAGCAGTGCTGGCAGTGCTTCTGCTTCTGCTGCTGAAGATGAAACTGTTACTGTTGCACTCCATATAGGGTTACCAAGCCCTAGTGCTTCAGAGTTGGCCTCAGTTTTATCATCTTCTTCAGAGATCACTGACAAAGATGGGGATGGTGATGATTCTGGGTACCCAGTTAACAGACTCAACAAGGGACAGTATTGGATCCCTACCCCTTCTCAGATTCTTATTGGCCCTACACAGTTCTCTTGTCCTGTTTGCTGCAAGACCTTCAATAGATACAACAACATGCAAGTGAGTTTTCATTACTTGAGTTATTGCCTCCAAAAGCCTTCTTTAATTTCCTTCCTTTCTTCTCTTTCCTTCCCTCTCTTTTTCTTAGGCCTTGTTTTTCCCAACATAAAAGAAGATGAATTCAAAAACAAATACATCCAAACTCTTTTCTTCTATGACTCCTTGCCTGATGGAAATCTTAACCCCCCATGCTGTGACTTTAAAGAAGAAGAAATAAAAGAAGATTTATCCAATGGGTATTTCTTTTATTTTTTTTGATTCAACACATTTTCTGGATACGTATCATCTCCTGGTTCTTTTTTTCTTTCTTTTTTTTTGGGGGGGTTTTTGTGGTTTGAATAAATCGTTCTGATCCAAACTGAGTCTGAGATCAGTACCTTCTTTTTCGTGATTGAACAACACAGCAATGTTCCTTATGTCTGTGGTACTTTGAAGTTTGTGCTTTACTCATTGGCAGGCAGCGTACAAAGTTTTGCAGTTTTTTTCAGACTTAAATGTTCTCAACGAAGTAACAAATTTATCTGTATGAACCTTCAGTTTACAGCAAAGCACTGCAGATATGAAAATCTCATACGTCGGAGATATCGTTTTCTCCATCTTCCTAAACCGGGAAACTCATACAACTCGATTTAACACCTCAACATAGGGGATCCACAATTGGGATTGAGCTTAGGAATTTCTTTTGCTTCATGAAGAAAATTCATTTCTTCTTTTTAGAAGAAATATATGAACAATTGTGTTACTACAAGATAATTGTTATTCATTCATATAATGTAGAGTTCTATGAGATATAAACTAACTTTTCCCAAGACACCAAAATTAGTATTGAGGGTTCAAATTTGTTTTGTTGGGTAGAATTATATAATTGTACTACCAATATTTTGGTCTTGGGGAGATTGCAGATTACTTTTGCTGTTTTAATTTTCTTGGCTTCTACTGATTTTTTTTTCTTTGACTGAATTAATCTGTGTAGATGCATATGTGGGGGCATGGATCTCAGTATAGGAAAGGGCCTGAATCACTAAGGGGAACTCAACCAACAGGCATGCTAAGGCTTCCTTGCTATTGTTGTGCACCAGGTTGCCGGAACAACATTGATCATCCACGAGCAAAGCCACTCAAAGATTTCAGAACCCTGCAAACACATTACAAGAGGAAGCATGGGATTAAGCCTTTCATGTGCAGAAAATGTGGCAAGGCATTTGCTGTGAGAGGGGATTGGAGAACCCATGAGAAGAACTGTGGGAAGCTCTGGTACTGCATTTGCGGGTCTGATTTCAAACATAAGAGATCTCTTAAGGACCACATAAAGGCTTTTGGGAATGGCCATGCAGCCTATGGCATCGATGGCTTGGAAGAAGATGATGAGCCTGCATCTGAAGTGGAACAAGATAATGAGTCCATGCAGTGATGAATAATGGAAATTAAAAGGGTATGAAGGAATGGTTAATTAATATTCTCTAATTATAAAGCTTTATTTGCAGGCTTCCAAAGTAAGAACTATATATATAAGAATCAATTTACTTGGGGAAGCCACCTTTTTTCTCTTTTTAGTTTCCCTAGCTGTTTCCTTCTCAATGTAGGATCCTTAACATCAATGTTAGGCTAAGCTCTTGTATATCCATTTCCCTTTCAAGTTTCAACTGATCATTTCAGTGGTTTCTTTCTCTTTGCAGTGTGCTTTTCAATCATCCTCAGCATATGGATGGTGAATAATCATATTGCTTCTTAAACTATTAGTCACCGAAATGGAAAACAGAAGTTGAAACTAAAGACCCTTTTTGAAAGCATATTGATGCATTGGATGATAATTATGATATACTCATTGAAAAGAAGATAATGGAAAATCTCTTTTTATATAATGAAGAAATGTTTCACAATTAGTTATTTTTCTTGAGCCCTGTCAATTGTTTAAAGCATATATGAATGATATTTCATTAATTATGAGAGGGATTTATGGGTTGTTTGATTATAATGCCAATAGATCAAATTCTGTCCAGGGAATATATCATTTTTCTTCTGCTTTCTTCCACTTTGAACCATGGAAAATCCTGTGATTAAGAAAGTTGAGATACAAGAGCATCCACCATAGTTATGCACCTACAAACAAATACAAGTGCGTATATATGCGAGTGAGAGAGGGCTGAATTATAAGAAGATAGTAAACATGATGAAAAGGCTGAAACTGTCACTGATGTCATAGCCTATCTATTTGCAGAGATTGAGTGATAGACCTTTGACAAAACCTGGATGGATATTGTTTGGGTTCAATTTTCTGTAGTTTTTAGTTAAGGGAATAATTAAAGTTGAAAAGAAGAAGAAAAATATTATAGTGAAGCTTTTGGGAAATAAGATGACCACTTCCGCTAATTCTAACTTTTAGGTATGAAGATACATGCATGGATAATAGCTGTGGGGTTTTCTGACTTGTAGCTTTAATAATTCATTTTCCTTTTAAGATCCTCATATGAGTCTTCGCCACTCTCCCACAAGCCTCACAAATGGGTAGTGAAGGGATGTACATAAAGCAAGCTGATCACTGGATAATAAGACAGGTGAGTATATTTTGTTCCAAATGTAGTTGAGATAGGCTTTTCATCCTGCAAATAAATCAGCTTTTTGGGGTGCATATGATGCCCTTTTGCTTTGGTTAGTGGAGAGATGTGTTTGTTGATGGATGGAACATATACCATTTGAGATTCACTATTACTTGGAAAATTCAAAGCAAATGATTAGCTTTTAGAGGCCGGAGAGAGAGAGAGAGAGAGAGAGAGAGGCGTTAAAATATGATCTGGGAGGATACAATACACTAGAAAGATAGGTAGGAGCAATAATAGTACTACTAGTTATATAAGATGTTAATAAGATTGGAGGGATGGAAGTGGAATGGATCTTGTTGGCAGCTTTCTTTAGAGAGAGAGAGGGCATGGGCAAGGGGGTCAGGGCAAAAAACTGAAACGGTGTGGAGCCCAAGCTCTGCTGGTTGGGCAAATCTGCAGCATACACTGATGCCCCCTACAGTGCATACACCCCTCTTCTGATGGATAAACTGTAGCGTGAAACGACATTTCAATGAGTCTTTGACCATCTCTCTCTCCTCCTTTCCCTCTCAAAACACAGCTTTCAAGTTCAGCCTGCAAATTGCTGTTAGTGAATGCATGTATGCAAGTGTTCCCAAGAACAATAATGATAATGAGGAATACTATGAGAGAAAAAAAAAAAAAAAGATAGGAGACAAAATTTAGTGATTTTCCTTTCTCCCTAGACAATTTGTATAAATCCCTCCAAGAAAACACCACAAAGTTAACAGGCTACATTGTCAGTTGATGGCCCTGAGGGGTTACCAATTCCTCTGTGTACTGTTCTGTAACACTCTCCAGATCAACCAACAGTATACATTAACTAAGAAATCAGAACCAATAGGCATTTATTGACATTTAATAACTTACCCTTTTGCTGGGGAGACCAGCTCGTACCGCAATTGACCATCCCCTCGGGGCCATTCTTCTTCCCATGAGGCAACTACTCGCTGGCGATATATCTCTCTACATACATACCAGTGTTATCACCTTTTTTTTTTTAATTTTATTTTTTCTCTGCACTGCCACTGTATATCTTTTCAATAAAGAAAGTACCTAAGTACTTATATACGTATTAACTCATGCATGCATGTACGTGCATTCTGTCAAGAATCCCCTTAATTACAAAATGAAAAGTTTCTGGGTCTAACCCCAAGATAATTCGGCAATATTTTTTTTGAAAATTTTCTTCAATAAAGAGGGGGGGAAAGAAAAAGATTCACACCACATGCAGGTTAACAGAAGCTCATTATTCTTTTTCCTGTCTAACAGTAGAACACAGCCTTTACTGCTTAAAATCCCAAGGCCAGCCCCTTAATGTATATTTATTCTGATCTTTTCCCATTATCAAAGTGGTTTTTCCATTAGTTTTGTTATTAAAATGCATTTTTCCATAACCTTGTCAAGGAGACCAAGCATCCTACACAAGAGAATATGTATAAATATTTTTTTATTTTGCCTTGTATTCATATTCCAATACACAAAGGAGACAGCTTTGTCTCCCTTGGCTCGAATCACAACCTTTTTCTGCTAATTCTTATTTAATTAATAGGGACACCAGCCTCCTCCTCTCCATATTTTTTTTTGTGAAAGATATTATTAGTTTTTCTTTTCGTGAAATTCAAGGTATATTACGACAAGAATACCATGTTTTCTCATGTAATTAACATCAAAACCAGGGGAGAAATGACACAATTTGCAGATCCACATCATTCATAAGTGGTCCTGCTAAATTTTTTCATCAAGTGCTGATGTATCACTTAAAACAAAACCTTTTACTCAGGCTAGTTAAAATTTCATTATGTTGTTTGTTATCACAAAAGACAAAATTAAATATCATTAGACAAAGCACAAATTTAGTCACTTTTAGCCCCAAAAAAATTATAATCTTGAAAAGGAATAAATAAAACCAAAGTACTTTATCACAATTCAAATATATGCTAGAACAAATCATGGTGAGACGTTGTGGAAGGTGACGCATGTCATTATATATATATATATATATATATAAAGAAAAAAAAGTATTGACACCAAAGATCTAATGAAATTCACTTGTTTTTCAGTGAAATGATGAGCAATGTCTTCCATGAAATGTACCCATGAAAACTGTATGAACCCTTAAAAAATTATATGGACCAAACTGCAAGAAGGGGAATTTTGAGGTAGGTCTGATCCTCAAAGTATATGAGACAACTTTGTTTGAGAGGCCCCAACAAGCAAAAGGAAAAGGGGGAAAAAGGGGGAAGAAATAATCTTGACTCATAATCACACTCACCTTTGAAAAAGGAAAAACTAAATGAGATAAATTTATAAAAGGAAGGGGGAAAAAATTAACAAGAGGAAACAAAAATCCTTCTTTTGGACTATACCTAGCTAGAGATATCTCTCTTTTTGGCCATGATCATTATCCACGACCATTTGCTTTCTTTGATCCATTTTTTTCTTCTGCTAAAGTTTGGTTGCTTTGGGTGCTAGGAGATTCTCCAAGTTGTAGGTCTTTTGCATTTCGGTAGCTATCTTTGGTATAGGGGAATATAGAGCAAAAGCTTCATAGGGAAGAAATGGGAGGCATATACTTCAAAACATAAAACACAAACACCATGAGAAAGGGAGAGAAAGAGAGGCATATCAAGGCTTTTCTTTCTGCTCATCAAGGTCAGGAGAAAAAGGTAAGTCTGACGTTCGTGCCAATCAAATCAAAATGGGGTATAATCCATTTGTTTTTGAGGGCTTTTTTTTGGTTTTAAAAAAAGTACTATTTGATCAGACAAGTAATCAAAGGGTCTAGTTGCAGAGAAGATCCTAGTATTAAACATCTACTAAAAACCCCGACGCCCGAGGGAGAGCACTCATTAAGAAGCAAATCCACACGGACTAAACCTCAAAAAGTGCAATCAAGAATTATGGAGATTCCGTGCAAATTTTTCAACTTGGTAGCAGAATAATAGTTTCTGCTTCTTCTTTTTTGATCCAAAGTCTCCTCAAATATTTATTTATTTTGTGAATGAAATTGATAATACCTCTGTACTTGATATTGTCTAATAAAGGCATACCCATCAATTTGATGTAAGAAAATATCTAAGTTTAAAAACTTAAAAACAATTGATCCTGCTACTTTTCTCAATCAGGCTTCCTTATTATACAAGACAAAATGCTTTATTACAAATTTAAAACACTATTACTGAAAGGATATATCATGTTAAGTATTTTTTTTCGACATATATTTTTTCTTATAAAAATTGACACTTTTCTTATAATGCATGTAAATGTAAATATGCATGATATCATTGAACCAAATACTCCATGCATGATGGTTTATTTTTATAATATTATTAGATATTGTTAGAATTAATTGTACAGTCAAAATTTTGGTGATTAATGTTAGAAACTGTTATTAATCTAATAAGACCAATAATAGTGTCTGAATAGATGCTTTGGGGAGGTGCATGATTAAAATATGTATGGATAGTAGGACCCATAAAAAAAAAACGATACTAATTACCAAGATAATTTTTATCTTTCTCAAAAACAAATCAGCAATAAATAAAGAGAGAACTTTTCTTTGAAAAAGAGCACTTTCACCAGCTTCCTAGAAGGATCCTATCCTTGGAATGAATTCGTATAACAAAAAGGAGAAAAGGAAAGGTGAAAAGAGAAATGAGACATTTTCTCTTTCTATTGTGGTAAAGGTAATAAGAAGAAAAGCAAATGTTGGATACTAGCTAGTATGAGTAAAGAAGATGTTTAGGTATAATGCTTGTAAAAAAATAAATGGAAAAACGGAAATTTGATTAAGCCCACATGAAATAGAGAAATAAAAGGAAACAAAAAAGAGTATTTATGTCTCTCTAGCAATAAGGATGGCTTTTAAAAGTGGTTGCAAATCAATAATGCTTAATTGTCAATTTCTTTTACCATTACTACCATTGTAAAAGAAAACAACAAACTATGGCATTTACTAGTAAAGCAAATGCGCCCAGGCCTATCTTAGTAGGTACTTCAACTTATCGTCTCAAACAAGTAATGTTTTGTTAAGTAATAAGTATTAAATATAGTAATTTAAAATATATTAATATAAAATTATTTTATTGATTAAATATTTGAAATTTGGGCCTTGGATGGGTTTGGGCAATATCTTAAAGATTCAATACGGATTAGGCCTCACCCAAGCCTATTATGTTTAGCTTATCAATATTTGTTGGTGTTGTGTGTGTGTGTGTGTTTATTTAGGAAACTTCTATGGTTTATTTACAAGTTAACAATGAAATTTATGCTAAAAT